AATCAGCTGTTTCGACGGCTTTCTTACGGGGCATGCAAAAAATGGGCTAGTGTCGTCATGCAGGGTTACACTGTAAGCGTTGCATACACGTATATTGGATATGTCAGGGTATAGGTTTTTTTAGAGATAGATATTTTTCTTCATTTTATATTTTGTTTTATTTGTTTGTTATTTATTTATTCGTTAAAGTTGAATTTTTTTATTTCATTTTCATTTTTTTAAATTAATTTATTTTATTTCATTTATATTAGTTTTATTATTTATTTAATTTATTTTATTAACTTTATATTATATTTATATTTTATTTCATTTTATTTTATTTTTATTTATTTTTTAATTTATTTAATTTTTATTTTTTTTATATTTATATCTTTTTTATTTTTATTTTTCTTACTTATTTTTATTTTTCTTATTTATTTTTATTTTTTATTTTATTTTTTTATTTATTTTATTTTATTTATTTATCTCATTTTTTTCTTACTTTATTTATCTCATTTTTTTATTAATTTATTTATTTTATTATTAAATTTTTTGTATTTATTTTATTATTATATTTTTTTGCTTTTTTTATTATTTATGTATTCTTATATATATATATTATTTTTTATTTTAATTATTATTTTCTTATTAAATTTATTTTATTAATTTTTTGTAATGATTTTGTTTTATTTTTTTATTTATTTTTTTATTAATTTTTTATTTATATTTTTTTTATTAATTTTCATTTATTTCTTTTCATTTATTTTTTTATTTATTTTTATTTATTTATTTTTATTTATTTATTTTTATTTGTTTATTTTTATTTATTTATTTTTATTTATTTATTTTTATTTATTTATTTTTATTTATTTATTTTTATTTATTTATTTTTATTTATTTATTTTTATTTATTTTTTTTATTTATTTTTTCTTATCTAATTGATTTGATTTTATTTTTTAATCTTTTCATTATTTTTTCAGTATAAACAAATATTTCCATTGACCACATACATTTAGATAGATGGCGCACCGGGTATTTCGAAAAAAATATATAAAAAATATGTTTTTATTTATAAATGGCTCATGCAAATTTTTAACGACAAATCCCAAATTTACATAACAATTTAGAGATAAACAAAAACAAACATTGATTATTTACTTCAAATATTTATTTAAAATAAAAAATTACAAAACTTAAAAATAATGGAGGGGGCTCTTAAATTTCTATTGAAAAAAAAAACTTAAAAATAACTTATTTTAATTTCAATTTCATTTCATTGGATTATAGATTTAACAATGAAAGGACAATTAACTAAAGCAACATAATGAGAGTTTATATATAGCCTTTTTAAATTAGCCATGCTTAATTTTGATAAAATCATCGAAATTTCACTATGGTACAAATTATTATTATTATTCGTGGTGTCTTAATGTAAAAATTAATTTAAAAATCCATTTATAATTAAAGTTTTAGCAGTTACTTGATTTCACGGTAATTTTATATTGCTGTTAATTAGGTATTCTAATTGCAAGAGCTAGTGGTCATATTCAATATTAATAGATTTTGCTACGGCATCCATTTAAGAAAACTCGAAATTAAATAATTTAAGAGAAAAAATGGCAACTTGCGAGAAGAAAACCATTGAGAAACAGTTCAAAAATTCCGAATTTCGTTACGAGCTAATTGTTATTCCCAATTTCATTGCCATATTGGGCATGTAAATAACTAGCAAATATATAATTTTTTAAATCTTGGTACTACATTGCAACGGCCGCAATAGCCGAGAGGTTAGCATTTCGCACCATCAAGTAAGCGAGTCCTGCTTTGACCAACATACAAAATTATAGAAAATTAATTTTTGCAACCGCCCCTCAGCCAAGGATTTCAGGTCCCTCAAATGTATTTCTGACATGGAATAAAAGCTCCACATAAAAATCCATCAGCCGTTCGGAGGCGGCTTAGAACAAACTCTTTGTTTATTGAGATTTGTTTACTGAGATTAAAAATACAGTAGAGTAGATCAAGTTTGAGCAGAACAACTCGGAGCAGTAATCTCATGAAATATTTGTCGGGCAGCAATTTTTTAAATGTGAGTGTCTGACATTTCTATTGTAAACAATATTTAAATTTTTTATGATATTTTTAGATATATAAACAACTATCGGATAATTTTCACTGCACGAAGCGCACGAAGAATTGCAAGTATAAAAAAAGCAGAATAGAGAAAGAGGGAGCTAAGAAGAAACAAATGTAAAGAAAAAAATTACTTGAAAAAAGTATATCCGCGTGAAAGTGAAGGACGACACCAAAAGAAAAAAATTTACAGGATTCACAGAATTCGGTGAAAATTAGCCAGCAAATTGTATAATAGGTTTTTAATTTGACGGTTAATTTTGGCACTTGTTTTATGAGTTCAATATTATTTTCATTTTAAATCAATTTTGGTTTGTTAAAAAAATTCAATCATATGATCACAAATTAGCTGCTGTTCCCAGCACAAATTTGCAACTTTCTCTCCAAAATTGTGCTCTCTCGTAAATAATTTTAATGGCTTTATGGCTCACCGAATAGAACTATAGACTAGGTGCAGCTAATAATTTTTGCGATGGGGTGTAAAAAATATTTTGAAAACTTCAAAAGTATAGTCACTCTTTTGCCATACTTCTTTTAAGGTTAATATTAACGGAAAGGCGATGAGTGGAATACCACTAAAGCCATCTACAGTAGTTTAACAAACTTAACATTTAATTGTTGTGTTTATATTTAATCGTAATAGAAAAAACTAAAAAATAATATAAATAAAATTAAAATAAAGAATAATAATAAATAAATTTAAAAAATATATAAAAAATAGCAATAAAATAAAAATATTAAGGAAAAAAATGAAAAAATATATATTTAAGGGGCACAGCTTGTGTGAATTTCCAAAAAAATCGAACTTTTTTTCATATTATATTATCATATAGATTACACCTTTAAAAATAACATATTAAAAAAATTTCAAATCGATATCTCCAATAGTTTTTGAGTTATAGCAATTTATAGAGCAGCCGCTAGACAGCTAGAGAGTCTCATTAGCTACGAGTAAAAATGATCATTTTATCTTTAAACGCGTTTTTCTTGAAACATTTTCCGCTGCCAAAAACAAATGATCCGATCACTATCGATTTTTTTTTACATGTTCTATATATAGTTCTTCGTACAATGACCTGTATATTCTTGAAACATGTATAAATATATTCTTAAAATTTTGAAATAATTGATAAAGTATTTTTTTTTTATCGAATTGATGTACATTCTTGAAACACTCTCAGTCGGCCAAAACTGTTGACTTCAACGGCTATCAGCAAAATTTACCTTGAGACTGCCAAAACTTCACCTTAAGGACCGCAACAGGAAACCTTCTGATGTTGCCTGACCATCACTTGCACAACGAAACATCTATGCTACAAGTTAAGGAGCATAATACTTTGCTCTACATGCAATTTCTGCTAGGATGCTACCAAAGGGAACACCCCAATAGGCATTTATTAGGAGCTAAACCTCCACCCAGGCACATCAGAAAGGGAGTACTAAGTTTAAAGGACACAATTCAGCAACATGTACAACAACCGTAGGACAGACGGGCATTTAACGCCATTCACCAACACCTTCAAAACTCCTTCCCTGTGAGTGGCATCCCCGGAGTCAAATCACCACTCCCAGCAGACGAAAAGCTTGAGCTGCGGAATATTGGTGCAACTTAGGTCTGTATATTGTTAAATTCCTAACTATCCCGACTCGAACACACGACACCAACCAACTCTTTACATGCCCCCTTAAAACCGACACATCCAACCTCACTCTTCCTCGGGCCGAGACCCATCGAAGCAGCTCGTTTTCTGGAACTCCCGTTAGATGACCTCGGTGACTTATACTAACTAGCCTGGTTGGAAATAACCGCTACAAAAAACAACAACAGAAAAAGAGAGAGAATTGTGTCTGTACTGTACTATCGTTCTGTAGCTGCTAACTAAGTGTGGCTTATTGATGATGTGTGATTTGGTTATCAATATTGGCAAGATGGAGTTGTACTTTCCAATTACGCAGTTTGTTACCTAGAAAATTCACAACCTTTTTACCACAAAAGATTTGCATTTCTGCAAGATTATGGATATCGTCACTCTCCAAACCCACCACAATACACAGTCCCAGACCGCGTTGTTTCTTCAGGACTTTATCACCGACAATATAAAATTTGGTAGAAAATTTAATTATCTGAAAATTTCCTAACTTTGGAGAAGTAGCAGTTGCATACAGGCCTATTCTGTCGAGGTAATAAAAATTACTTTGGTATTAAAATTTACCATTCAGTAAATTTCGTGACTACTTCGTATTCTGTGTTCACTGTCACCCTGTAAATTTTGTTACCAGCGAAATAGGAGGTAACAAAAATATCTGCCTTTTGATTTTGTGTTTTTAGTTTGAGAAAAAATCAAAACCAAAGTGGGTAGGCATATTTTAGGCCTGTAATTCATTGAAGGAGAAGAACAAAGTGTAAAATGGCGAATGCTAAGAAGATGCGAGGAAGAAACGACCATTTTAATTTTGAAGATAGCGTTTTCAATCAGCTTTTTTTGTCATTTAGGCATATTTTCCAAAATTAGGTTCAAATATTAATGATTTAATAAACAAATAAAAAAAAAACTTATTTATTTTATTGTGCATCGTCTTCCATTTCGTTGAGAATATTCTTCTTTTTTTACTTTATCAACTAGCAAATGTAATTTGACATGGACGAAAAAAGCAGTGCTTCCAAATTTTTTTCAAATATTGTAACCAGTTTGTCAGAACACCAAATTCAATTTCGGGTGTTAGAAAAAAAGTAACAAAATTTACTTTACCGGCAACAGTGAGAATAGGACTGATAATCTCTCTCAATTTACCAAATTTATGATTGTCGTGGATTTTTGTTTAGTTAAAGTTTTTTCTGTGCAACAGTTCAATAAAAAAAAATATTATTAAATATAAACACAACAAGTAAAGTTTTGTAAAAAGTTTTGATGCAGAGTATAAGTTTTTTCTTTCTTCATTACATTCACAATCTCGCCAATTTCTTATTAGCTTATAATTTTGATAATTTTATCTACATATATACATATATAACATGACTTAACTTTGAAGTTTCCATAACATAATTTCTTCATTAATTTGTACTATAAATTACTTGTAAAAAAAAAGTGCTGCAGGTTAATGAAGGAAAAGTTGAAGTCTTATTACCTTTAAGATGAATTTCTATCCTTCTTACTTTTCACTTTAAGTTCCTGATATACATAGTAGCGTAGATAAGACCCAAGGCTCAATGTATGTTATAATTTCAAAATACGTAACACATACAAACTGTACACTCATATTAAATTTCAAAAAAAAAAAACCTCTATTTTTATGTAGTTTCGTTATTGTGTTTCGAATTTTGTGAGTGATTGCTACAATCTCTTCGTTCATTTATTCTTGGAGAAGATTACTGCTACCTTTTTAAGCGATATGCGTTAAGGCGCTGGCTTTATTCTTATCACCTTATTTTGTCATCATTTCGTAGATTTTTCTATTCTACGTTCGGAGCAATAATATGCAATCTGAACGCAATCATTTTACGTTAACCCTGACTAATATCTAATTTTACTCTTCAATATTTTTTAGTCATGCTTTCATTATTATTGCCGCTCAATTAGAATTCGGCAACAAAGTAATATTATAAATAAAAAAAAAATCAACATATATGTATACACCTAACTACTGCTTACTTAAAAGGATCATTTTTAAAGTGAGAACAATGAGTTAACTATTGATTTTAAATTTCACAGCGGCAAGTCAACCTGAAGATCAATGTCCATGAGTTGGCTTCGAATTAATATAATAAGGGCGATAAGCTGCGTATATTTGATGAATTTCCAGCAGTTTTTCCATACAAATATTATATTTATTTATCAAGTGATAATTATAACAGGTTTATTAGTCATTCGTACGTTTAAATGAAGGTAACCAATATGTCTAATGACTGGAAATGAAATTAACAACTCATGGCGTTCATCAAAGTTTCTAAAGAATAAATTGTCTTCTGGATTTCAACAATTTTAATTTTTTCCTTTTCGATTATATTTCTTAACGTTTTAATGTCATCTTAATTGTTGTAGTGGTTTACTTAAGTTTTAATAAGACATCATTGAGTTATATTTCAAAGTTAACCGCCTTTTATACTAATCGGAGACTCTCAACAAACGCAACGATGTCATTTCGTTTTGCTAACAAAAAAAAAAAAAAAATATTTAACTCAACAAAATGAAATCGAAACGATAGATAGATGAAACAATAGAAATTTTTTGATTATCATGAATTTTATCGTTACGATGCCGCCTCGGTATAAATGTAATTTACTTACAATTAGGTTAACTGCTGAATGACTACGTAAAAATGTAACTTGAGATTAACTCGCCACTGTAAAAGTAGATGAAAACAGTTTAAAAACATTTCAGATATTTGCACACGTATTCTCCTTAATAAATGACTATATTTATCACGTTTGACGCTTCCGCTGATACAATTCTTTGGGAGTACACATCTGTGGTATGTTTGCAGGAGTATTACCTTCAAAATACGCAGCATTTGAAGCATTTGAACGCCAATTATAATCACTATTGTCAGTTAGCTTAAACATCTCACTTCTTTTGTGTGCTTTTGAACTATTTCTCCATGATTGCGTTTCAATAAAATCGTTGCTATCGTTGCTATCGCTGCGCCAATTTTGTATATTTTTCTTTTTATTATCTTCTCGATTGCCACACGATCTACTTCGATTATTACTACTATTGTAAGCTGTTTCGAAACTTTGTTCTTCTCTGGCAAAGTCTACAGCACTTTCAAAACCACTATTCCCACTATCAGTGCATTGTTCCTGCAATAAATCGCTGGATTTGGCAATGCTACTGCTCCTCATCGATATACTGTTCGAATCATCATTTATTGCAGGCTCAGTCTCCAAAATTAGACTATTATTATCAGACGATGATGCTGAACTCGCAACACGTGGTTTTAATTCAAAAAATTTATCATCAAAAAATATTGGCATTTGTTTGCGACCATTACGATTAATTTTAATTTCTTCTTTAATGGGATGTGTTGCTATTGTACAAGCTTCGTCAAGTGGATGTTCAATACTTGGTCCTAAACCAACATGTCTCATCAGCGCAATGGTTTCACGCTCCAAGTTCTCGTTATCATTCCAATCATCGATTGTTGGCTGTTCACCCAGAGGTTTAGTGCCAGCAATACGCTGCACTCTTGAAATAATATTCAATGTATGATTTTGAGTACTTGGTAATTTCTTTTCGATATTGCTTTTCAATTCTTTCTGTTTTGCTATAAAATCCAAATGTTCTTTAGGACGTGGATAAAATGGTTGTTGAGTTGTCTCCGAAAGTCGACCAAAAATAAAGTCAAGATCCGGTTGGGAATCAACAATTTCCTTTTCAAAGTCAGTAGTTGGAACCCAAGCCATTGCGAAAAAATTATCGTATTCGAATTTGCAAGCACTAAAATGGTAAAAAGTTTGAGCAAATGGATATATTTTCACTAAATTGTTTTAGTAATGCAATGGAATTAATGCAAATGTGTGCTGCAATTTATAGCAACATAATCAGTCTGCACATTTAACCTCTAAAAACATAATATGTAAGTGTGTAAATTTATTATCAGCAACAGAGTGCGATAACCACTTGATGAAGTTATTTGTATAAACAGCGATATATGTATGCTTATAAAATTCCATTTTTCACATCTTTGAAAATTGCATTTTGAAATTCCAACGCATATACGAATTCATGTAATTACTTACGGTTTTTCTCGCAAGCCAAAGAAATTTGTTGAAGGATTGAGTATTAAAAACACTTTGTACACGTCAAGTAGTTTTTAAACAATTTAATGAATTGCGAAAACAGGTATCTTATAAACAATATAATGCAACCAAAAATTTATGAATTGTTTATAAATCCATTATTATCTCTAAAATGTGCAAACAAATGGCAATGTTGAGAACACAGTAATATTAATTCCAAAATGTCTGCTTTTATTAACTTTCTTGTGTCTGCTCTTTCTTTTCTTTCGCTTTCTTGCCATAACATATTCGTATGCATACGTTGCAAAGCAACTCTGGTGAAAATTATACTACAAAATGCAACCCTGATGTAGACACTGAACACGGGTTAAGTTTGATACCATTTCATATAAAAAAAAAAAATAATATATTCGCGGCATTATTCCAACACACTTTGCATTGAATACCGGTTAAAAAAAATTTATTTGGAATATACATTTTACATATGTGTATTATTAGGAATTACCGTCCGAAATATTATTACTGCTTAATCCTACACAGCAAGGTCGACCGGTGCTAGCAGTGTACTTTTAAATTTAATTTAAGATGTTTCCGGCCCTCCCCATAACAATTTTTCGCATTCTATACACACAAATCAGTAGCTATATAAATAATACATCTATGACTAAAATCCATTATAACCCACACTTGTTAAGCATTTCTTGAAGTTTTTAGTAAATTGGCTTTTCATGTACACATGTATTTAAAATTGGCATACCACTATGTCTACAAGCAGTTCAGTTCATCTCATCTCGCCACCTACACATTTCGAGATATCTCCGGTAATTTAACGCGACAAATCAATCGAAAATTCTTTCACAAACTGATTTTTAAATAACGAAAGTGCGTGAAAAGAGCTATGAATAGGGAGAAAATGCAAATAAGGCTGATCAAGTCGTTCTTGAAATGTTAAAAAATATACCTCCGTAAATACATATGTATACATGTATGTATGTATAACTATGAATACACTTTTGTATGTAGGTAGATGTAATAAAAAAAAATGTTTGCCACATTGATAGGCTCTTACTTCGACATCAGTAACCACCAAAATGAGAGATACATTAATGAAATGGTAAAAATAGAATATCGAAAAACATGTTAATGCTTGCAAACTTTCATATACATATATACAGTATAGAGGAACTCTAGCAACAGCAACTCAAAAGATATTAAGAAAGTACACCGAAATAAAATAAACTACTTTAAAGAAAAAATGAGTACAATAAGCCTTCTAATGTTTCTATACAAAACGCAAATGCCATTGACACTGAAACGGCCAGCAGCCCATGGTTCAGCGCACGTCTCTAGCGGAGGCATATCCGAGGCAACTTCAAGTTGATTTAATTTGTGGGAACACACAAATATATACATATAGCTACATATATATGTTTGCATACACAAATCCACACACACACACACACACTCAGGCACAACATACTAGCAGCAATTGCTATTTAATTAAAGATACATTCATCGGATACGATTCTGAATGTGTAATAGTAGCGAGAAGTTTTTGACGTTTATTGATGTCTGGAATCCAGTTTGAGTGTGTTTAACCGGTAAAGACTACTGGAATTATATTTTAGCTAAAAAAAAAATTAAAAGAAAATTTATCAACGTAAAAATATAACTTATTAACCCAAAAGGGTTTTTCTCGTACATAGCAAAAAAAAAATTTAAATCAATCAGGAATTAAACTAGTATTGCGTATATATGCTCCAATACATACTTCATATTTTGTACACTGTGTATCTACTTGAAAGTCGCAAAACATTTACATATTTGTACTACATTTTATCTTAATTGAATGATTCCATATTCAAAGCGCGCATACTTGGTGCGGTCTATTTTATAGGTTACCTTTCTCACAACACTTCCACTTTACTAATCAGAGCTTGAAAACACGTTTATTGAACTTGCTTGGCATTCAAAGGCAAATTTAATCACCAACCACAAATTTGAAAATGAAGGTGATAGTTTCCACCAACGCTGTCTGTCAATGATTCAATTCTCTTCATATTCTTGCTTATTTCCATTATCTGCGCGCACGTACCTGCATATGTATACATGTATGTATGTTGTACACACATTCAAGCAACATTAAAAAGACCGCATTAAAAACCACTTTGTGAAATGTATTGGTAAGAAATGTTGCACAGCAGAAATGAGAAAATTCCCATTTCGTCAGTCCCGAAGACCAACAGGTAAACGCAAATTAATAACTCAATAGCCAAGTGACTTAGCCAAATAGTTCATTTGCTACCTACAGATTCCTAACGAGAAGCATCAACACTGGAACTACATTAAACAAAAGTGTTACAATAATCGACGCACTCGCTCGCTCTCTTATGGCACAATGTGATCCTATACATTTCAACATCGTCCCATTGCATTCGCACGCATCGGTCCATGAATGCATTTGCGCCAAAAAGAAAAAAAAAAAGTCCATATCCAAATCCAAAGACGTCAACCAAGATGTGCTGGAGAACACCACAATCATTAAATAAGTTCTTTCTTTTGATGGAATATTGGGTAATTATTTAGAACAGCGGCTTTTGCTAAAACTGTCCAAAAATGATGGGGTTTTTGGCTAAATAGATGTATTTGATGATTATCTTTTCATTAAAAGTGGGGGAAAGCTGAATTTTGCAATAGTTTTATTGTTATTAACATTTAAAGTTACACTAAAATCACTAGCACATACATTACAAACAAATACAAGGCTAAAGCGATGTTGCCATACTGTGTATGAAATTCAAAAAAGAGCAATAAATAAGGCGGAGCAAGTGTGGGTCCGGCATGGTTTGTTTTTTTCGATTTATTGAAAGGAACAAAAACAAAAATTCTTAACATGAATAAAAACGAAAGTTCATATTATTTACATATTTACATACAAAAACGAAAACTGTTCAAAAATTCAAATATTAAGGTATTTTCATATCTTCAAAATTCATATTATTTACATATTTAAATTGTAACCGGACCAACACCGGCTTCGCCTTGCACAGTACTCTTAAGTGAAACTCTTTTGTAAGTTGGCGGCCCTCGGCTGCGCTTTGGATTGTAACCCTGGGCCGGACAAACACCGGCTTCGCCTTGCACAGTACTCTTAAGTGAAACTCCTTTGTAAGTTGGCGGCCTTCGGCCGCGCTTTGGATTGTAACCCTGGGCCGGACCAACACCGGCTTCGCCTTGCACAGTATTTTTAAATGAAATGTCTTTATGAAAAATACTGTTTAATTTATATGTTATTTTACATGCAAGCCAATATGAATTTTTTTTTATTCATGTTATGAATTTTCGCTTATATTCATTTCAATAAATCGAAAAACTATCAATGCAGGACCCACACTTGCTCCGCCTTATTTATTACTCCTTTTTAAGTTTCTTACACAGTATGGCAATGTCGCTTTCGCCATACTTTGTCTTATTCATTACTCTTTTTTAAGTAAGATATGGCAACATCGCTTTAGCCATGTATTTGTTTGTAATGTATGTGCTAGTGATTTTAGTGTAACTTTAAATGTTAATAACAATAAAACTATTGCAAAATTCAGCTTTCCCCCACTTTTAATGAAAAGATAATCATCAAATACATCTATTTAGCCAAAAACCCCATCATTTTTGGACAGTTTAAGCAAAAGCCGCTGTTCTAAATAATTACCGAATATTGATATATCCTTTATAATACATTTAAATATAAACCAATTAATTACACTGCTTAGCTTTATCTTATTAGAAAATTAGATAATTGATGTAGATTTTGCAAAAAGCGATTGGTAAGTACTCACTTTTCTCGTTTGGGGTTTTCCAGTTTTCCCTTCACCGGTTGATGATCTCACACACTTTCTACTCACTTCGCAGTCTTTTTGCACACTGCGTCTACTTCGTGTTTGACAACTTTTGTTCATAAAAAGATACTTTAATTTCAATAAGACAGGTTTTTGTGTAATATTCTATCTTAAATATACAAAAATTTTGACAACACAGCAAACTATCGCTTATGGAATCACCAACAAAACTGATGGACAAATTTTTCGCACGAGTTTCGTTCAGGGTGTGCGAGATATACATTTTGGACAATTTGTGATGCTGTCGTAAAACGTAGTAGATAATTGAATGAAATAGTAGTTAAAGTGAACTGTCAACAAGTGACATTTGCTGAAGGAAAGGAAATACAGCTGATAGATGACAAGGGCAGTAGAGGAAAAATGTAAAAGAGACGCGAGAATAACCGATGAATAATGCAACTAAATCTTTTTAAAAATTCAATACATAGCACAAAGAGTAAAAATACATAAGCAAAAGCGAAAAATACAAACTTATTTCAGCAGCGTTTTCACCCTTCTCAATAACCTCTATGAGAATGTAAAATTACCATTTCATCTTTTTTTTATCAATTGTTGCAAATGCGTATAATCCAGTACCTTCTCAGACTCATCAATCGCGCAAATATTCAAAAGAAATGACTCACTATTGCGAGTAACTAAATTTTTCCAGATTGTATTGTGTGTGCTTAACAAAAACCGGTTTTGCTGACGCTAACAACATTTACCAATGAAACACCCAAAAAGGCACTCAGTTTTCGTCAATGCGACACGTAAACACTGGCTGAAGTGGCCAAAATCAAAAACCGGCTGTTGTGTCCGTTGAATTCGAAATATATATGTGAAAGAGAAATGACACTACAGCTCATATGGAGTTCGGAAGTTCTATTTCATTCGGTTGCGCCGTACTGAAGATGCCATCTTATTGGAACAAAATCAAATATGTGGAATGTAATGGAACGTTTTGAAAGAAACGCATATACAATGAACCAAAAGCAATCGATCTCGAAAGTGATTAGAGCTTTTGAGCTTCAACCAAAGGTAAATTAAAGTAAATTATATATGCTTTCAATATATTTGTACGATTTTTTAAAAAAATTATTATTTTTTGATTCAAGTTTAAAAAGTACACGGTAACTCTATTCTAAGCAGCAAAAAAAAAACTTGTACAGAATTTTTTCAATTAAAATTATATATTGGATGATTCCGTTGGATGCCATTCGAATCGTTTGAGAGTGGCGCTCGTGAAAGAAATATATACATATTATATATCGTTGGAAAGGTGACAGTCCGAACTGTAAATAAAATAACTTCATTTTGATTTGAGTTGCTTAGTGAAAAGACGCATGGAAGATGGGCAACGAAAAAGATCATATGCGTCATATTATGTTATACGAATTCCGCAAAGGAAAAACAGTAGGCGCTGCAACTAAAGATATTCGCGAAGTTTATTTGGACCAGCACTCCGCACAGTAAAGAAATGGTTCGCGAAATTTCGTTCTGGAGATTTTAACCTCGAAGATCAACCTCGCAGTGGACGGCCTTCTGAGCTTGATGACGATGTTCTAAGGACTTTAGTTGCGAATAACTCGCGTATTTCGACGGAAGAGGTTGCCAGTGAATTGAAAGTCAACAAATCAACTGCGTTTCTTCGTTTAAAAAAGGTTGGGTACATTTTGAAGCTCGATACATGGGTGCCACATCAGTTGAGTGAAAAAAACAAAGTGCACCGTATGTCAACAGCAATTTCCTTGCATCGCCGGATCAAAAACGAACCATTTTTGGATCGGCTCGTGACTGGTGATGAAAAATGGGGATCCTGTACAACAATGTTCAACGCAAAAGAACATGGAAACAGGCACGCGAAGGGGCAGAACCGATACCGAAAGGTGGATTGCTTCCGATGAAGGCATTGCTGTGCATTTGGTGGGATATCCGAGGCGTGATCTATTTTGAGCTCTTGCCAGCTGGTCGAATTGAAGAAAGCAATTGATGAAAAACGTCCGATTTTGGCCAATCGCGAAGGAGTTCTTTTCCATCATGACAACCGCAGGCCACATGTTGCAAAACCGACCCTGGCCAAACTGAAGGAGATGAATTGGGAAATCATGCCGCATCCCCCATATTCACCCGACATAGCACCTTCTGATTGTCATTTGTTTCGATCGCTGCAGAACAATTTAAATGGCAAAAAAATTAAAAATGTGGAAGACGTCAAAAACCACCTTGACACCTTTTTCAACGAGAAACCGCGCGATTTCTATGAATCAGGCGTCCGTAAATTGGTTGAACGTTGGGAGTGGTCTATTTTGTGTTTATAAAAAATTTTTCGTTTTTCTGATGAAATGTTAAGATAATTTATTGAAAAAAGTTAATAAAAACATTTTTTTATTATGATTTCTTAGGTTTACATAGAAGCCTACACTATTAGCTGTAAAAAAAGGTATCACTTATGAAAATGCGGCAATTACAACTTTTTTAATCGTGTGCACAGAACAGAAAAACACCGCTCAAAGTTCTCAAGGCCACTTATCAGTCTCCTGAGCGCATTGTCTCTCAGAGGCCATTTCTGCGGAAGGATTAGGAATTTGACTCTGAAATTTTGTGGAAATATTTCTCAATACATTTCTAATCGAATGAGATAAGTTTCAAAAAAATCGATTTGTTTGACCCTCTATACCAGGTTTCCACTTAATACTAATATTTATCAGGTGTACAACTTTGCTTACGCCGTTTTTTCCATAATTAAAAGCTTTTTTGCGAAAAAGTGCTTACAAATATATTATTCAAAGTATTGTCCTTCGCTAGCGACAACTTTCTCCCATCTTTCCGGCAATTTTCGGATCCCGGCTCGAAAAAAGGAGTCCTCTTTTGACGCTATCCAAGAAGCAATCCATTTTTCCAATTCTTCGAAGGATTGAATATGTTGATCTGCCAGGCCGTGTGCCATCGAACGGAATAGGTGGAAGTCAGAAGGGGCGACATCTGGGGAATACGCCGAGTGGGGCAAGACTTCCCATTTCAGCGCTTCCAGCTACTTTTTGACCAATTTTGCGACGTAAGGCCGAGCATTGTCGTGTTGGAGGATGACTTTGTCATGTCGCTCTTGATATTGTGGCCGCGCGACTAAGGCGCATCAGTTGCGTTCGGTAGCGATCTCCTCTGATGGTCTCACCCGGTTTTAATAGCTTGTAGTAAATCACACCGAGCTGATCCCACCAAATTTCTCTTCCACCACCATGTTTGTCTTCGACATCGAAATCACCATTTTGAAAACGTTGAAACCACTCCCGACACGTTCTTTCACAGGAGCAGCATCACCGTAAATTTCTGAGAGCATTCGATGCGCTTCAGCTGCATTTTTTTTTTCGAATTGTAACAGAAAAGTAAAACTTCCCGCAAATGGCGAAAATTAGGCACATAAAAGGGCATTTTCGAGCGTGAATAATACGAAAACCAGAACAACTGTCACTGAAACGGCGATGACAATACGTTAGGCACTGTCCACACTCACTTTAAAGGCATTATCAGCTATATATTTCAACCAGCCTCAGCCTGTATAGCCACCTATCGGAAAACGGCGGAAGCAAAGTTGTACACCTGATAATATAGCCACCCCAACGTCCAAAATAGCTTGGAGCCTTCTGCTCATGGAATTCAGTTCATTCTATGAGGAGAAAGCTTCAAGCCAATCACAGTATTCTAGTAGTCATCAGGGCGGTGAATATGTTCTTTTGCATATTGCAAGCGCTTAGTAAAATTCTTATTTGATAGATATAGCTTATTGCGGGGCGTGTAAGCCCTAAAATCAAGAGAATACGAGTAGTTTCGCACTGTTTGCGGATGAACATCGAATACGGCAGCTTCTTTTAATTGCTTTGCGTTGGCTACGTCCGAAGATTTGGTATCCTCTTTGATGTAACGAGCAATCCTTCTTTCTGCCTGGGGTGTGCGTATTTTTTTTTGGCCTTCCACTTCCAACTTTACTTTCCAAATGGCCTTTTTTTATGTGTTGAAATAGTATACTGCACCGTAGTATGTGGCTTCTTCATGATTCCACCGATTTCCCGAGAACTTTTGTCTTCTTTCCAATAGGAAACTATTAGATTTTGCAAATCCTTTGATATTTGTTTATTTACTATTTTTACGAATTTTAGTTATCACTTGGAAATCACAAAATGTCGCACTTACAGGCCTATTCTCACTGTTTCCGGTAAAGTAAATTTTGTTACTTTTTTTTAACACCCGTAATTGAATTTGGTATTCTGGCGAACTGGTTACAATGTTTGAAAAAAATTTGGCAGCACTGCTTTTTTCGTCCTTGTCAAATCATCTTTGCCAGTTGGTAAAGTAAAAAAAGGAGAATATTCACATCGAAATGGAAGACGACGCACAATAAAAGAAATAAGTTTTTTTTTATTTGTTTATTAAATCATAAATATTTGAACCTAATTATGGAAAATATGCCTCGACAACAAAAAATGCTGTTTTTTAGTCTCGAAAACTTATTACAATTCGGCTTCCTGCACATTTTTTTTCGTCTTCAATGAATTCCAGGCCTAAAATATCCCTACCCATTTTAGTTTTTTATTTTTTCTCAAATTTACAACACAAAATCAAAAGGCAGATGTTTTTGTTACCTCCTATTTCGCTGGTAACAAAATTTACAGGGTAACAGTGAGCTCAGAATACGAAATTGTAACAAAATTTACCGAATGGAATGGAAATAAGCAGAATAGGCCTGTTAATGTAGGAACTCGGAAAACACAACTGAAATATAACGGTACCTACCAGATATTCTCATTCAAAGTGCTGCCAGACAAAGTGTACAACTTTTTTTTTTAGCTGCTTAGAATAGAATTACCGCGTACTTTTTAAACTTGAATTAAAAAATGATTTTTTTAATTTTAATAATTTCATTAAAGAAAAAAAGCGCAGATAAAGCCTTAAAAGAAACACAGTGTCAAAGTTGGTTTGCCAAGTTCCGTTCGGGAGATTTTTCACTCAAAGGTAAGGTCATATACGACATCTTGGACTGGTATAAAAAAACTTGATATTTGGATACCACCTCGTGAAATGAAAGAAATCCAACGCTTGTGGTATGCATCTTAAAAGCAATGAATTTGGTCCGTTTTTGAAACAAATCACAACTGGAGATGGGAAATGTATTGCTTGCAATAACGTCAATTGAAAACGATCATGGTCCAAGCATGTTGAAGCGCCACAACTC